CTAGCCGAACATCCCAGCCCTCACCAGCGCCTCCTGGGCGGCGCTCCTCCGCACACCAGAAGTGGGGACGATCTGGGTTACGCGAAGACGGGTATGGTGGAGACTTTGGACGCCCGAAATGGGTACGGACAAAAATGGATACAATGCCCAACCAAAAATGTTGTCCCAAACCAACAGCGGCCGCTGTTGGGCAGGCGGCCTTCTGTCTCGAATGGACACAGGCCGCGGCGGCGCGGACAGCGAGTCCTGTTCAAAATGAACAAGAATTGCCGTTGGGCATTGTACCCATTCTTTCCGTACCCATTCCGTTCGTGCAGAGAGACAGCCCCTAGACCCCAGGACTTTCCCCCGGACCGGCTGTCCCTCCGTGCAGTTCTTCACACGGTCACACGGTCCTGCGGCCCTGGAAGGGCCCCCCCAGAAGCCCGACGGCTGCTGGACAAAAACTCTGGGGCACCTCTCCCCCAGGGCCCCGGCTCCTCATTGCGACCAATGCCGGCGGGGACACTGCCTAGCAGCGACCGCTGCCCGCAATCGGCAGCGGCTGCCGTTGATCAGACGACGCTTCCCATCTTCTGAGCCGTTCTCGCCCTGAAGCCGACAGCACGCCTGGAGGACAACGAGCTGGGCGTGCTGCGGGAGGGTCAACACCTCCCCCCCCCCAGGCGACGCAGGGGCCACGACTTCCAGCCACGGCATCCTCCGAGACCTGCCCATCTGGGCGCCCACGTGGGCCCCCAGGGCCCCACCTGACGCCGGGGCACGCCTGCTCTGGGCTGCGCTCGGCCTCCCCGGCGTGCGCTGCCATGCGTTGTCCTCGCGCGCACTCGTCGCCGCTTCGGGCGCCCCGAGGCTCCAGCTGCCGCCCAGCTCCGCCGTCGCCCGCGCCTCGGCCTCCTCGCTGCGCTCCCGCGACCGCCGCTGCATCCTGCTGCGCTCCTCGGGCGAGGCAGGAGGAGCCCGCCTGGACCTCCCAGGATTGGGGGGGGGGGGGAAGACGCATGGGGGTATCTGCAAAAGCGCCCTTTGCCGATACCCCCTATCCGTCTTACCCCGCCCCCTCCCCTTTGACAACACCCCGTTCTCCACCCCGCCCCGCCATCTCCCCCACCCATCTCCCCCCTCCCGTCAGGAGCCCCCGCCCGTTCCTGGAGAGCGGCGGCGGCGCTCTTCACCCACCCAGTGTGCTGAAGTTGGGGGAACTCGAGCACGCATTTCGTGCTGGTCCGTCCGTCCAACACGCCCGCCCCGTTTCGTGTTGCCCCCTCCTTCGTAATCATCATTTGCCTCATTCTACGCCCCCTCCCCCAGTCTTGCTGTGGGCGACAGCAGCAGTCGCCTCCCCGCCGCCGCGTCCTCCACCTTTCCCACGCGTGCACATCCCCACTTCGCCGCCCGAGCACATCGTCCTTCGATGCCCTCCTTCCCTCCTGTGCCTCCTCCTCCTCGAGGATCCCCCTCCTCCTCCTCCTCCTTCTCCTCCTCTTCCTCCTCCTCCTCCCCTCCTGCCCCTCCTGCCTCAAACTCATCCCAGTTCCTCTCCGCCCAAGATAAAATCCTCCCACACTGGGGAAACCAAAAGGTAGCGATACCGCTACTCCCCGGACCTCTCCTGGGGTGCGTTCTGACCAAGATTTTGAAGCGAATCCAGCGGCGGCGACGATGGAGGCCCAGTAGGCCCCCCAAAAAGGGGAAAACGAGGGGAGGGTAGAGGTATGGGTACCTTTGCCTCCTCTGACACCCGTCCTCCTCGTCTGTCCCCTCCGGCAGCCTGATCCGGGCTGGCCACCAGGCTCCACCGTGGAAGCAGCCGGGGTCCGGGACTTTTCGGCCCCAACCGGGCGCCCCTGCGCTCCCTGGCGGCGATGGGCCCGTGGGGGGGGCCGCCTGCCTGGCCACGCCGCAGGCGCAGCAAGCTGCTTTGGGCAGCCGGTTGCGGAACACTGCGCTCCTCAAGGTCGCCTCATCCTCAGGAAGCAGCTGCTGGGAGGTCTTCGTCGGAAAGATCACAGAGGATGAAGCCCCATTGCGGGACTGTTACGCCAGAATGGGCTTCGGATTAGGCGGGAGCAAGCCAGATTAAGCGGGTTCAAGCATTAGCCGGGATTAAGCCGGATTAGGCCAGACTTCGGACCAGGGCAAAATCAGAATTTGACCTCCCAGGAGTTGCATCCGAATCATCCTTAATGGTGGTGCAAGTATCCCGAAAACAGAAAGCGTGTTCGGCAGTCATTTGTTTACGTCATGTTCCTCTGCTCCTCTCCCTCCGACTCCTCCATTCCTGCTCCCTCCTCCCGCTGATATGCTCCATGCTCCTTCCTCCATAATGATTCCAATTCCCCCTCTCCCTGTTCCTCTTACTCCACCTCCTCATCCTTCTCTTTCTGCTCCTTCTCTTCCTTTTCCACCTCCCTTCCAGATCCTGGGGTGACCGCAGCAATCGCCTCAGGACCTCCCCCAGGTCGGGCACGGCCTCCACCGCTCCCTCCGCCGCGACCGACAGAGCGCGCCCCCACTGCTCCACCTTGGCGTCGGGCCTGACCATTGGGACCTTGCCGAGGAGGATGGCCTCCGCCACGCTCTGGTCCCCGGTGGCCACCACCACTGCCTCGCACTGGTGCAGGAACGTGCGCATCTCCCTCCTGGGCACGCGCTCGGCCACCAGGAACACCGGGCGGCCCAGCGTGACGTACTGACGCTCACCCGAAGGGAAGAGCATCTCCAAAGAGGACACCCGCACGACGCTTGACCCGGCCCACGCCTCCACGCCCGCGTTGGGCGCGACGATCACCTCTGAGGAACGATGGGCGCATGAGTGGCATCGCGGGGCGAAATTCGGATGTACGTATCTATGATGTCCCTCAGGATTGTCTTGCAAGCTTGCTGGACTTACGCTAGCGCACCAACGCAAGCACCCCATCCCCTGTCTCTTTTCCTCCGCTCATCATCTCACGCCCGAGCGCCCAAATTGGAGGCACTGTCCTGGCCTGACCAGCTTTGGCGACTCTTTCGCTTTGCAGGGGGTGAGCGATCCGCCTTTTGATAAAGCTATGTGAACCTCCACTGCGTCCCGCTCCTCGTTTTCAGGAACCTCCCTGGTGAGCACGTGCACCAGCAGCTCCGACAGCTGTCCGGCCACATGCGAGATGGTCTCCGAGGCCACCGCGACGCCGAGGTCAATATGGCGACCTCTAGGTCCGCAGTTCGTACGTGGCCGAAGACAAATTTCGACGACAGGTTTTCCAGCGCGAACCCAAAACGATAAGTTACTGACCTGTGGATATGTGAGCGATTTGTCGCACTCCAAGTGGTGTGAAATACGTGGTGCAATCTCTATATATACAAATATATAGATATAGGTATACGTATATATGTGGGCCAATATCTGTTGTTGTTGTGCGGGCGATAGGACAACCCGATCTCACGAGTAAGGCAGGGCACTAACACTCTCGCAACACACGAACTGAGTGACAACAACTCCGTGGCACGAAAAACTGGGCGGTGCAGCCCCCCTACTGTTAAGCAGAAGGCGTGTGCTCCCTCAGAATTATGATGCACATCTTGCCCGTGAGCTCCATCAGCTCTGTAGCGCAAGATATAAGGTCTAAGGTATGCGGTGCTGGCTACGTGGTATGCTATGTGGTGAAAGCTGTGCGGTGCCACGTGTGTGGCGGAAGCTGTGCGGTATAAACTGCGTGGTGCAAGCTACAAGGTGTAAGCTATGTGGCGTAAGCTATGTTGGTGGCCCTGTTTTCCACCACCACCACCATAAGTTGGAGGGGGAGGGGGTCCTCCTCCTCCTCCCTCTCCTCCTCCTCCTCCTCCCTCTCCTCCTCCTCCTCCTCCTCCTCCTCCTCCTCCTCCTCCTCCTCCTCCTCCTCCTCCTCCTCCTCCTCCTCCTCCTCTCCGTCCTCCTCCTCCTCGTCCTCCTCCTTCCCCCCCGTCCAAATCATGGTGGTGGTGGTGGAACACGGGCCCATATCATAGGTTGAGCACGCCATGTGCTGCAGTCGTGTGCGGCCGCCCCGCGCACGGGGCGCCCACGCGGCGCCAACGGCCGGACAACAAACAAAACCTCGGCACGCCCACGCAACGCACGAGGCTCCCACGGGCGGGCACCGGGCGAAGCCTCGGCACGACACCCGCGGGCGACCACGCGGCGCCCACCGGGCGAGGCCTCAGCACGCCCGATCGGCGCAGCCAGGCGCCCGCCGGCGCCCAGGGAGGCACACAAGGGCGGGGCCTCGGCACGACACCGCCCAGCACGGCGCGCACAGGAGCGCACGCGCGCGCCCAAGGACGGCACCGGGCAGAATCCCGGCACACGCATCCAATGCTTCAGGTGAGGTAAGTATAAAGGCCCCCACGTGCAAGCACTGGATGAGGAAATCGAAGCACATCCTTGTAGGCGTGGGCCTCAAACAGTAGGTTCCTGCACCCTCAATGTGCGCCTTCCGGGGTGCAACGCACGAGGTATGACGTGTGTGGTGCGACATGTGGAATACATGAGGTGGAAGCTGTCGGTTGCAATGAAGGTAGTGGCAGCTACGCGGTGCAAGCTGTGTTGTGCATTCTGCGAGACGCAATGTGTGCGGTGGAATATGTGGTGCGCTACGCGGGAAGGAATAGTGTGGTGCGGTCTGTAGGATGCACTTTTAACTGTTGGCATCCGAAGGCGACCACCTCCCATGCTCGAAGAAACATCCCACCCACCCATCCGCAACTTACGACAACACTCAGCTGGGCTGTGCAATTACCCATCGAAGTTTGCTCGCAAAACTCAAGTGGCGCAATGTCTTGCGCATCCTGCTCATGCAGATCCATGATGTCTCGGGCTCACGGATGATGATGGTGACAACGACATCGACGCCGACGACGATGATGGCGATGGCGATGATGACGAGGGCGACACCTACAACGATAACCTTGATGACGAGCGACGATAACCTTGATGACGACGGTGGTGATGACGATGACGATAATGATTATGATGGTGATCATGATGGTAATGACCGTGACGGTGGCAATCATGAAGATGGCGATGATGATGTCCATGGTGCTGATAGGGATGTTGAGGGATCGCTCGCGCAGCATTGAACACACGTTGGGGATCGCATCATGCTGAGACCGCCGTCGCTTAGCCGCTCGAAACTCCAACACAGTGTGAGACAGGTTTCGACGTGCGCGCGCGGAGGCGCGCGCGTGGGGCCCGCGGCGGATGGCTCGACAGAGCTGCCGTGCACGCGAGGATGTTCGAATAGTTGCGGCACGCGTGCGCGCGCGGCCCGCATGGCCAACGTGATGGACGGAACCGCCATCGGCACAAGGACTTCCGACGGCTCCAGCGGGTGCGCGCAACCGTCGGGGAACGAGTCCCCGGGCGAATCGGCAGTGTTGTAATGACTGGACTGTTGAGAAGCCAGGTGCTGACATGCAAGTGTTGTTCGAAGTGGACATGCACGCGCGGGGGCGCGCGCATGTAGCCCAGCTGGGGTGATCGGGCAAGAAACTGCTGCGCAGCACGCCCCTTAGATCAGCGAATGTTCGCCGAATGGTTTCCCCACAGCGTTTCGCCACAGGGCTCAATGATGGAGGAACAAGAAGGAACCACAGACGAATGCAACACGGGGAGCGGGGAGCCCGAAGATGTCTGGTCCGACGGCCGACGTACCAGGCCGTGCCCGCACCCCCGTCAGGCTTTGGAACCCGTGAGGATACCTGGAGATGCACGCCCCCCGATCTGAACATTGGGCGCGTGACGAAGAGCCTTGGGCCCCCCACCCCACGGGATACCGACAGAATGTTGCACCACCGCGCTGTTTCGACTCGCCCGGACCGAACCCAATAGTGAGATCGGGGGGCGGTGGGGGGGGAAACGAACGCCAGACACAAAAACTATGCGCATCACTATCCGCGCCAAGTGGTGCACCATTGTGTCGACGTACCTTTCGGGCTTCAGCATACGTGACATGCTATCTCCAGGAAAGGAAGAGGCGGACATGTCACGTTCTCATGGCTTCGCACTGCTTTGTTTCGCAATGCATCGCATGGCAGATCATGGACTGACCTGGTACGTCACTGGAACATGTAGCATAGCATTGCGCAACAAGGCAATGCATAGCGTTGCATCTGGTTCCCTGGCTTTGCATAGCATTGCGTAGCAGCGCATGGCAATAGCAGCGCATAGAAATCGAACCCTGACCACCGCGCACCGTACCGTACATCGACAGCATGTTGCACCTCTTTTGTCGCGAATGGGAACCTGAACTGAATTGCTCCTCCCTCCCCTTCCCCCCGATCATACTATTGAGCCTACGGCGAAGAACCTTGGGACCCCCCCACGGGCTCCCGACATAATGTTGCATCACCGAACTGTTTCGACTCGCTGGGACCGAACTCAATATTGCGATCAGGGGGAGGGGGGGGTGGAAAACTAATGACCGATACAAAGCTATGCGCGTTACCATCCGCGCCAGGTGGTGCACCCTTGTGTGGACGTATCGCATGTTTGATGAATGGTCGCTCACAAACATCATGACAACACAATACCCCGAGGGGGGGGCGATAGCCCAGGCCTCGGGGTGGCAGCAGAGCCTAAATCTCTTTGAATTGAACGACTGCCTGTGCTGCGGTCTGTGGGGTGCAATCTATGCGAGGCAATCTGCGTGGTGCCGCCAGCCGACGCACGGCGGTCCACGAGGCCACTAGGAGGAACCAACATTGAAAAAACCATCCAGCGCACGGAGCGGCTACGAGGCGTACACGGACGGAAACCTGGAAAAGCACGCGAAGTACTCACCCAAACAAGTAATACACATATATATATATATATATATATATATATATACATACACGTGTACGAATTCGCAGACAAAAGATCCAGCAAGCTCTGTTTGGGGAAAAAGCACAGCGTTGCCTGTCGGCACACATCGTTGTCTGTCGGCACTGGCGGGATGGCTATGGTGCTCACCCTTGCTTCTCAGCGCCAAAGTTCCAGGCTGCCACAAAAGCCCAGAAGAAACCCGAACAATGCTCAGCCTTGCGTCTTGACCCTGGGTTCTCATATAGCTACAGGAGCCTGGAGGGGACGCTACTACCAGCAGCAGACACGTCATCGCAAACGCGTCATCGCAAACTCTATTGATCGGTAGTGGTGGACATCCTACGGACACAATCATGCTGCATATGGTGAAGGCGCCAGTGCCATTCGACATTCGATTTGGACCTCGCTCCATGGAGCTTCCCCGCACGGAGGCGAAGACACAGCGACGACTGCGACGAGGACGTACGACGACAGCGATGACGACACACGACTTCCCACCCCCCCCGGCGGGCCAGGGCTCTCCAGGAGAGCGGCGGCCTGCTCCGCGAGAAGCTCGCCGGTGGTGGGGGAGACGCCCGTGGCGAGGCCGCCATCCTCGCCACGGCGGTCGCTCGGCCCTCTCCCAAAGGGGCGGGCGGGCCAGGCTTCCTCCGAGGGCGGCGGCGAGATCTCGGCAGATTCCCACCGCCCCTGGCCAGGCTCGTCCTGGGCCCGGGGAGCGGTGCCTGCGCCGCCCCAGCTTGGCGAGGGGAGCATCTGCACCGCTCCCGGGCCAGGAATGGGCCCGGCCAGGTGCGGTGGACGTGTAATTAGAAATCTCGTCGCCCCCCACCTCCGCCAGGTTGCTCCCTCCCCCCGGTTGCGCCCTCCTCCTCCTCCTCCTCCTCCTCCTCCTCCTCCTTCTTCCACCTCTCCACCCCGTGCCGAAGGCGTGCACGGCCCCAGTCTGGTGTTTCGGGGAGGACGCACGGGGCGGCCTGTAAGGAGATTGGGCATCTCCGAAGAGCACCTCCCCTGAACCCACCGGGGTTTCGCCGCCTGGGCGACACAGGCCAGCAGGCTGTCGATCGGCATGTTTGTTCGACGCATGCATTTGGACATGTTCATATGAATGATCTCTTTGAGAGTTGCTTTACGCTACTCCGACCCCGACCCCCAGCCACGCCGTGGCGGAGTAGTAAGGTAGGGTCATGCGTTGACATGTTGGCAATGCTCATTCACGGTTTCCCAGCAGCGGTATGCCACGTTGAAGCGAGAACGATCCCCGAGTAGGACCCCACCCCCAGACACGCAGAGAAGAGTAGTAAGGTAGGTGCAGTAGTTGCCATGTTGATAGTGCGCAAGCCATAATTGGTACCAGAGGACAATGCGATGCGGTTGTGATGTGATGCTATGCGACCCACACTCCAGCCTTCCAGCCCTTGTGCCCTATGGCCTATGGGGCGGTCCTCCCAGAGGGCAGGCGTATGGGACACGCAGTCCCAGCTATGGGCTATGGGACACACAACCCTGATAAATTCGCCGGCCCAACGGGCCAGAGGCGTGCTAAGATCTCCGGTAACTGGTTAACAATTTTCTAGTTCGCGCGCGCGGGGCGGCCCCTGGGGGTCCCCGGACGAAAAGTACCCCGACCAGGTCCCGGCCGGTCCCCGGCCGGGTCCCGGCCGGGTCCCGGCCGGGTCCCCCCGAGCGCTCCATGAGCGCACCAACAGGGCTCCGAGACGTCCCCGAGAGCCCCAAGAAAGGCCAAGAGGCCCCCAAGAGGCCCCCAAGATGGTACACGAGGGGTCCGACATGCCACAAGATCGCTCCAAGACGCCCAAGATAGCCCCCAGACGCCCCAAGAGGCCTCCAAGAGCACTCCCAATAGGGCCCCCGGAGGCAAAAATCATTGTTTTTCCATAGGTTTTTGAGAGATTTTGGAGCTTCCACCTTTTCGGCTTCCCGACGCCCCAAGACGGCCCAAGAGGCCCCCAAGATCGCCCCAAGAGGGCCCAAGAGGCACCCAAGAGGGCCCCAAGATGGCCCAAGAGGGCTCGAAGACGGCCCAAGAAGCCTCCAAAACGGTCCAAGAGGGCCCCAAGAACGCCCCCAAAGGGGCCCCAGAGAGGGAACACGAAACAACATTTCGAGCCCTCGGCCCTAAGAAGCCCCTACGAGGCCCCTAAGAGGCCCCAAGAGGCCCCCACGGGGCCCTCAGGAGGCCCCCAAGAGTCCCCCAAGCGGCCCCAGGAGGCCCCCCAAATGCCCCCCCGAGCGCCCCAGGAGTGCCCCAAGCGGCCCCAGGAACCCCCAAAGCGCCGCATTGACACCAGGCCCTCGGGCAAACGGCAGACATGAGACTGTATGGGCCGGCGGAATGAGCGAAGCGATTAAATTCGCCGGCCCAACGGGCCAGAGGCGTGCTAAGATCTCCGGTAACTGGTTAACAATTTTCTAGTTCGCGCGCGCGGGGCGGCCCCTGGGGGTCCCCGGACGAAAAGTACCCCGACCAGGTCCCGGCCGGGTCCCCCCGAGCGCTCCATGAGCGCACCAACAGGGCTCCGAGACGTCCCCGAGAGCCCCAAGAAAGGCCAAGAGGCCCCCAAGAGGCCCCCAAGATGGTACACGAGGGGTCCGACATGCCACAAGATCGCTCCAAGACGCCCAAGATAGCCCCCAGACGCCCCAAGAGGCCTCCAAGAGCACTCCCAATAGGGCCCCCGGAGGCAAAAATCATTGTTTTTCCATAGGTTTTTGAGAGATTTTGGAGCTTCCACCTTTTCGGCTTCCCGACGCCCCAAGACGGCCCAAGAGGCCCCCAAGATCGCCCCAAGAGGGCCCAAGAGGCACCCAAGAGGGCCCCAAGATGGCCCAAGAGGGCTCGAAGACGGCCCAAGAAGCCTCCAAAACGGTCCAAGAGGGCCCCAAGAACGCCCCCAAAGGGGCCCCAGAGAGGGAACACGAAACAACATTTCGAGCCCTCGGCCCTAAGAAGCCCCTACGAGGCCCCTAAGAGGCCCCAAGAGGCCCCCACGGGGCCCTCAGGAGGCCCCCAAGAGTCCCCCAAGCGGCCCCAGGAGGCCCCCCAAATGCCCCCCCGAGCGCCCCAGGAGTCCCCCAAGCGGCCCCAGGAACCCCCAAAGCGCCGCATTGACACCAGGCCCTCGGGCAAACGGCAGACATGAGACTGTATGGGCCGGCGGAATGAGCGAAGCGATTAAATTAAATGGGACGCAGGGTCCCTGTTATGGGACTCGCAGGTCCTGGCGAATGGGACGCACAATCCCTGTTCTGGGACACGCAGTCCTGACAAATGAGACGCACGGTCTCGGCTATGGGACACACAATCCTGGTAAATGGGACGCACAGTCTGGGTTGATGGGACACGCAGTCCCCGCGCATTGGAGTATGTCCCATGTAAATCTGGAAGAGGCTTCTCTTGTCTGGTCTTGCGTTACGTGAATATGTTGTTGGGCCAATTGGAGATTTGCTATCTGATACGAATAAAATCAAGACACAACTGCAGGGAAGATGAATCCGTCTCTCCACGCTTTCGCCGTTCCGGCAACGAAAATCGATACCATTCGTTGCAACACTTCTTTGAGGCCGTCTCGGCTTCATCGTGGGAGTTCGTGGGCTCGACGATGGTCGAAGACACCCCCAAGAGAAAATCGATACCAATCGATGCAAAATTGGGCAGGTAGTGGCCCGAGTGTCGCATAGCATATGCGTGGTAGTAGACCTGGGTCGATATGCGACCAATGGGCCCTACGGGATCTACAGAGACGCGTGAATCCCACGGGCCCTAACTTAGCCCTACGGGGCACTATGAGCCCTACGGGGCCCTATGGGACGTGAGGTTAGCAATTGTAAGCAATTGTGCTTCACAGTCGTGGGGCAGCGCTCCTCCGGGAAGATGTTGGGCAGTTGCAGTTATCATGTTCGATGTCCTCTAAGGGGGCTCTGTACCCCAGGGGGCCAGATAAAAGGGGTGCTGTCGTGGAGGAGTAGTCAGGTAGGTTCATGTTTTGACATGTTGGTAGTTCGCAGACCATAGTCGGCCGTAACAGGCCTGGGGTTTGTGCAGTAGCATGCGGGCGATAGGTGGCCGTATCAGGCATGGGGGTGGGGGGGCTTTGCAGCCGCCGTACAAAGGGCCTGCGTGTAGGCCATGGGTGGACATAGGCCGTGCACTGGAGGGATTGGCGCGAGTGGTGCAAAGCATAAGCGTGGAAGTAGGCGCATCTTAATAGGTGTTGCATCCATGGGAGTACGGGGATTGGCACGGGGCAGCTACTTGTGCTTCCCAGTCGTGGGGCGGCCCTCCTCCTGGAAGAGGCCAGGCAGTTGTAAACCATCCTGTTTCACAACCGTGAAGAAGAAGAAAAAGAAGAAGAAGAAGAAGAGCGCGCTGAGTCCGCCCGACGGCCAGCGGGCCCCCTAGGAGCAGCGCGGGTGGGCCGGAGCCCGGTGACTGCATGTGGTGGAGGAAGGCGTCTTCCCAGCTGTCCCATAATTTCTGGTCAAAAGCATAATCTAACCAATGCTTTGTGATACTCCCAATGGTAATTTGTACAAACTGTGATATGTCGTCGCACCACCGCCTGCGTTGTCGTCCATGTCTGCGATGTGCTATTCGATTGTCGTGGACTTCCGGCTCCCACGCTGCTGCAAGCCTTGTCCATCTAAGGTTCGAGTGTGTTGCCGCTCGCTTTGCCCACCGCCATTTTGGTCTGTAGTATACTGTTGGCCACTCGTCCACGTGAGAGCGGGCAGCGAGATCTGTAGCCACATGTGTGGCCCTGCGAATGAACTCATCCCATGTTCGAGTCCTGGATCGTCTTCGACGTCGTCGAACTCGAATTCCCTTCCTGCGTCGATCGTGCTGTCGCTGGTGTCATCGTCGGTGCGAGCAGGGTTGGACTGGGCGTCGTCGTCGGCTGCTGCGTCCTGTTGGGTGCTCTCCCGTCGCCTCGGAGTGTTCACAATGAGTCGTAGCATACGTCGTTGTGCACGTCGTAGTGTCAACAGCAGGTCTTTGGTAAGAGTCCACGACATAGCTGTCGGTGTTACGGCGCCGCTGAATAGCCGGAGCCTGCTGTGGAGCGGGTACCGTTTGCTCATTAGCTCGTCGCGCAATTGGTTGAATTTGCGCCATGCCACTGCGATTCTGTTGGCGAGCTCGGTGGGGTGGTAGTCGTGGAATGTAAGCTTCCGGCCGAAGTACTTCGTGCTCTGATCGTCGCTGAGGATTTCGACTCTGTCGCCGTCGGTATCAACGTGAGTAATCGTTCGCCCCTGTCGCCGGCTTATGTTCGTCAGGATGTTCGTCTTGTCTGGGTGTATCTCGAGCCCACATTTTGACGCTGTTTGTTCGAGATCACGAAGAGTACATTTCAGTTGTCTCAGATTGGGTGCGAGTAGTAGGACGTCGTCTGCAAAGCGCAAGTTGGTAAGAAGGGTCGGTTTGGGTACGCATTCCAGGTTACATCCCACTTGAATTCGCTTCGCATGTCAAACAGTTTGCACCACGCAGGGTAACATGACTTATGTTGCAGATACCTCTGATGTTTGATTTGGGATTGGCATTGAACAAAGCATGCCACCATTGTTAGGGCACGAAGCGGTTGGAAAAGGGGCGGGTACCACCACGGTTGTTCACACGTGCCTCCATCGGATAGGGTATCGCGTATCGAGTGAATGATCATCCATAGCAATCGTGCGCATAGCGCTCGTGCAGCGTGGGTCCACCACTGCTGCGGTGCCTCTTGGTTAGGTAGAGCATGCGGACGGTGTTGAACGTGTTGGGGGAATGGAAGCGTCGCGATGGGGGTGCGGGAGTTCTTGTGGAGAGAAGAGTGTTCTGTAGCTGCTCGGTTCCCTCCTCCCCTTCGCCCTTCCATGAAGTTTCTCTCCCTGCCAGCCCTCTCTTCAACTCAGTCAGCGCCGCTCGACGCAGATGCCTAAGACAGGCGCGAGCTCGAGCAAATCCCTCTATTGCGCCATTTTGACGAGACACCTTGGCTGCAGACTGTGTCCCTGAATTCGTTGTAAATTTGGTAGAATCGTAAGCATTCTTTCCTTTGTACTGGAGGAGCGGGGCTAGTTCGACAAGGGCCATGTGATTGGTTCGTCGCGCCATCAACGCCCATATTCTGGACCGCCCAATGTGGCGGCATGTGCTTGCCGTGAGCCCCCCTGCCGCTTCCTGGCCCGAGGCAGCGACCAAGCGAACCCGGGACCGAGGGAGGAACAAATGTGAAGCACATCACCCGTGCCTTAAACGACAGCCGCGACATTCCTCCTATTCCTCCTCCCCCTCCTCCTTCTGGCCCCGCCCCCCAGCCACGTCGTGGAGGAGTAGTCAGGTAGGTTTATGCTTTGACATGTTGATAGGTCGCAGACCATAGTAGGCCGTAACCGGCCGGGGGTTTGGGCAGTAGCACGCGGGCCATAGGTGGCCGTATCAGGCATGGTTGTGGGGGGCTTAGCAGCCACCGTGCAAAGGGTCCGCGTGTAGGCCATGGGTAGACATAGGCCGTGCAGTGGAGGGATTGACGCGAGTGGTGCAAAGCATAAGCGTGGTAGTAGGCACATCTTAATAGGTGTTGCATCTATGGGAATTCGGGAATTGGCACGGGACAGTTAATTGTGCTTCACAGTCGTGGGGCAGCCCTCCTCCAGGAAGAGGCCAGGCAGTTATAAACCATCCTGCTTCACAGCCGTGGGGGGGGACCTCACTCACGCATTCCAGGTTACATCCCACTTGAATTAGCATCGCATGTCAAACAGTTTGCACCACGCAGGGCAGCATGACTTATGTTGCAGATAATTCAGTGCCTTCTGATATGTGAGTTGGAGTTGGAATTGAACACGGCATGCCACCATTCTTGGGGCACGAAGCAATAAAAACATTACCCGTGCCTTAAACGACAGCCGTGACCATCCTTCCACGCCGTCCTCTGCCTCCTCCCCCGACGCTCCCTGGACATCACCCTTGCCATGCCCCTCCTGCCCCTCATGGGTCCGGGGTCCACGCTTCGAACCCGAAGGCACAGAACATATGCTTTGTTCCTGAGCGCTCCCCCTTCATGCTTGTATTCGGCCCATGGGCAAGCAACGCCATCTTGCAAAACATACGTGCCGTAGGGCCATGCATATGCATACATACAGACGTAGTAGATCTGGATGTATATACATCGACATGGCGTATGTTATTGAATTGTCATGCGTCCCGCTGGCGTACCGCATAACATGTACTGTATGCAAGTGTTCAGCTCCGTGTGACATCTGACATTTGGGGCGGCTTGCACATCAGGTACGCAATGACCCATGGCAAAAGACATGCCCGCAATGTCTGAGTGAGCGCCAGCGCAACTCATCTCACACATATCGCCATTAATTTCATGTCGGGCCTGTCCCCCTACAGGGGGATTTTGAAGGAAAAATAAAAATGTTCAAAACGTATTCACAAGATGCCCAAACATAATCAAACAATAGTCCCCGGACTATGTTTGGACTATTTTTGGATATTCCTCCTGTAGAGGGACAGGCCCGATTTCACATGAATTCGAATATGGATGGAACCAACAGTGACCGTTGAACGTGTGTCCTGCTGCATGCTGCATGGCCGAACAAGGGCATCCATCGTCCTCCCTTTCCTGCCTCCGCGTTAGCTCCCCTCCTCCTGCTCCACTGAAGGGGCCCTGGGACACACAAATCTATACACACAAATAATAGGATTCCCTATATTTTCTCAGTTTCTGGGTTATCGTCTTCCCCCCACTTCCCATATTTTCCTATATTTTCGGGGGGATCGACGATTTACTATTGTGTCTGTGTGTGTTTTTGGTCCCCTCCTGAGAGATCATGATCATCCTGCAGCTGCTCTCCCAGCTCCCGCGCCTGTTGCTGCTGCATCCTGCCCCCCCTCCCCAGGCCACCAGGAAGCTGAGCCACCGCGGTCCTCCCGCATGGGCACCACCTTCTCGGGCGGGGGCCGTCCCGGACACCCCCTTCCCTCCCTCCCTCCCTCCCTCCCTCCTCCACCTCCTCCTCCTCCACCTCCTCCTCCTCCTCCTCCTCCTCCTCCCTCCTCCTCCCCCTCCTCCTCCTCCTCCTCCTCCTCCACACTGCCCCATCCCTTCCTTCCGTCCTACCCCCTTGTCCGTGATTCCCGCTTCCCTCCGTCCACGTGTTCCGTTGTCCCTGCTCCAGCGGGTCGGGTGGCAACGCGGGCCGCCGCCCCCCCCCCCCTCCCTCCCCCCCCCCTCCCCCCCCCTGACCTTCACGACCTCGGGCCAGGCGGGCGGCGACTCGGCCTCGGTGGAGGCCGCCGGTCGGAAGGCGTGGGCGCGGGCGGAGTCCCTGCGCCCGTAAGCCCACCACAGCCGCAGGCGCCCCTGGAGGCCAGCGCCTCCCTCGGCAGCGAGGCGCCTCGCGAGGCCCCGCGCAGGGGGGGCGCGCCCTCCACCCCCCCGCCGCCGCCGCCGCCGCCGCACCCTGTGGGGGGTCTGTCTTTTCTGGGCTTTGGGGGATGCTGCCTCTCTCTCTCTCTCGCCCCCTTCCCCCATTCCCGAGGCGGGCGGGCAGGGGAAAGAGGCAATAGTCGGGAGCGGCCAAGAGGGGGTGTCCAAGAGGGGGGGTGAAAATCATGACCGGCGGCATGTGCGCGGCCCAGCGGGGGGGCCAGGGACGTAATGAAACAAGAAGAGGCGCCACGAGATCTGGAGAAATATCATGGCCCCCGCCATGATATCCACCCCCCCCTAGTCATCACCCCCCCTCTTTTCCGCCCCCGAAATAGGATGACGATCAGAAACAACCCACGGGGGGAGCGATGACAACACAGGTCTTCTGCCGCTGGGACACGTTTAGAGAGGACGATCACACGTCCCAATGACGACGACCACGCCCACGAGCAGGCCCAGCCACCCAACGTATCAATGATCATCGCCCGGGCCGCTGCTGCGTGACGGGCTCCCCCGGGCATGTCTCGATCGCCCTCCTACATTGTGGGGGTGGCCGCGGCGTGGCGCAATGAAAGGAGCGTGGGAGGGGGAGGGGGGGGGGGGGGGGGGCGAACGACGGGGCCAGAGGTCGGCGCCGCGAGAGGTCCGCGACGGGGGGCAGACTGCCACGATATGATTCGCCCCCTGCGCCCCTGCGCCCTCCTCTTCTCGCCCTCCTGCTCCTACCCTTCTCTTCCCCTCCCCTTCCCCAGTCCTTCCCCCTCCCCTGGGGTGACCGCAGTGGTGTGCACATGCTCGGGCCACGCTTTCGACGGCATGGGCCCCCAGGCTCAGGCTTGGGGCTGACGCCGCGCGGCCTCAGGCGCTCGTCCCTGGCGCCAAGCCTCGCGGCGAAGTGCCCGCGCCAGTCGGTGCCCGTCTCGGGGGCCCGCAGGATCGTCTTGAAGATGCCCGCATCAGCGGCGCCCGAGCCAGGCTGGCGCGGCCAGCCTGCGGGACAACTGGCTCCCCACAGCGATCTCTCCGCCCCCCGCTGCCCTCTGCTTCCACCTCCCGACCCTCCTTTCTGACCCCTCCTTTCCCCCCCCCCACCCCACCCGCCCTCCTCCGCCTCCCCCCATCCGCTCTTTCCCGCCTCCCCCCTCCGCCCTCCCCGGCCGCGTCTGCCCCTCGCCCTCGCCACGGGCAGTCACGGCCAACCTGTGGGAATCTGGCTGGCGAGGCCGCCGGTGTAGGAGTGCAGGTGCCCCATGCCGCGGCCGTACTCGCTCAGCGCCCAGACGTGCCGCACGGCTCGCCGAGCCAGCTCCAGCAGGGGCTGATCGTGGGGGAAGACTGCAGGGAGCAAGGAGAGATGCACACGCCCACCCGAGCGTGCAGTGCCAAGGCCAGGCCAGGAACAAGTGCACATATCGGGGACCCTCTCTTGACCACTGCTACTTCTGCTGACGCTGCTACTGCAATCCGCTACCGCTACTGCGGTACCTCTTGATCGGAGGAAGGGGGGGTGAGACCGAGGTGAAACAGAGTGCCCCAACCGAGCAGGGACATCGATTTCGGTGTCGGTTCGCGTTGTGCGTGACGCGCGTACGGGCAAGGCAAGGCTGCGCCAAGTCCTTCGCTAGCTTGGCCCAGGTCACGCCAAAGTGGGTCGGGCCCCCACCCTCTAAGGAAAACCCCAGGTTGTCCCGATGGTTGTCCCGTGGCTGTGACGTGGTCGTTCCGCCGTTATCCCTATGGTTTTCTCGATGGTTGTCCTGATGCTTGTCCCGATGGTTGTCCCAATGGTGGTCCATACGGTTGTCCCATGGTTGTCCCGATAGTTGCCCCGAAGGTTGTCACGATGGTTGTGCCACTGGTTGTCACGATGTGTGTTCCGATGGTTGTCCCGATGGTTGTCACCAAATTGTGCCGATGGTTGTCCCGACAATTGTCCCGACTGCTGTCCAGATGGAGGTCCCGTGGTTGTCCCGATGGGTGTCACGATGGTTGCCCCGATGGTTGTCCCGGTTGTTGTCCCGACGATTGTCCCGATGGTTGTCCCGATGGTTGTGGCGGCTATTGTCCCGATGGTTTCCCCGACGGTTGTCCCGATGGTGCCCCGCGGTTGAAAACGTGGAGGTCCCGGTGGTTGTGCCGACGGCTGTCCCGATAGTGGTCCAAATTGTTGTCCCGATGGTTGTCCCGAAAACTGTCCCGATGGTTGTCCCGATGGTGCCCCGCG